AAATGGCGATTTTGACTTGAAAGACAAGGAGCGTGCCAGGCGACCGCACGAGATGAGTTCGAATGACTTGGAATCGTTATTGCAGAAAGATTCGAGTGTGCGAACTTGCGGAAAGGTTGCATATTAATCAGAGCACTATAATTCGATGCTTGCGTGAGATGGAGAAAAATCTGGAGGAAGGAAAATGGGTTCCCCATGAATTATCCGAGATCGCTATTGCCAGCCGAGTCACCATTTGTCTTTCGCTGCTCAATAGACACAAACACGAGTCTTTTTTGTACCGGATTATGATCGGAGACGAAAAGTGGATTTATTATGACAATCCAATTCAATCAATTCAAAAAAGAATATTCTCTACGTCGCAGCCAAAACGAAATATCCGTGGTCATAAAGTCCTTCTGCGCATCTGGTGGAACATGCAAGGAATGCTGTATTATGAGCTGTTAAAACCATCTCGGACTATCACCGCGAAATTATACAGTCGACAATTGAAGCAGTTGAATGAGCAATTGAGCGATAAACGGTCATATTTTCCGACAAAGCACAAGAAAGTGATTCTTCTGCGCGACAATGCCAGGCCCCATGTTGCATTGACGACCCGGGAAACTTTAATGGAATTGCAATGGAAAGTCCTACCCGGCATATTCTCCAGATATTGCCCTATCGGATTTTCACTTATTTCGTTCTACGTAGCACAATCTTTCCGGTAAACGATTTCGCAATGTTGAAGAAATGCAACAGTTCATCGATAATTTTATTCATTCCGAGAGCAAAGACTTTTCTCTTATCGTGGTACCCATCTTTTGCCTGAAAGATGGCCAAAAGTAGCAGATGATACCGGAAAATATTTCGATTAAAGATATATACTATGTCATTTATAATACGTAATATCAGTAAAAAACTTTGCCTTGAAAACGATGGAACCTTTTGCATACCCCTAATATATTTACTTCAACAGAAGACGCAGCGCATGAAAATGCCTCGCTCATAAGAACTCTTCCGACTATCGCTCTCGGTCGAGAATTCTTTGAAGGGCTGAGAATCATATATCTCCCTTCCAGAGCGCGAAATGGAACATTTCTCAGAGTCCGGCGAGAGAGTGGAGCGCTTTCGTTCGACGTTGATCATACGCTCACCGAGCGATAACGATCGCCGCGGTGAGAAGCCTCTCATGCCCGCGGACGAATTGGTATAATGAACGCGTAAGTTGATTGACACTTTTCGAGGCGCCACGATAGGCACGCGGAGGTATGCAGCCGCGAATCTGACCGATTTCTCATCCGGACAGCGCCGAATACAGGAATTCGACGCGCCGTCGCGAGACGACGCGTAGTCCACGCCGATTTCGATCGGCGGCGGTGCCGCTCGATTGGCCGTCGCCGTCGCCGTCGTCGTCGTCGTCGTCGTCGTCGTTGTTCTGTTAAGTCGAACGGAAGATTTAGTTGTGACACACTTTCCGATCACGAAGCGCCGGGCTTCTCGCGTACCGCGCCCACGAGATTAACATTACAAATTGCGAGTGCATCAGCGCGACGTAACGCGCCGCGGCGCGGCGCGCGCCGAGCGACGCAACGAGCATTTTCATCGATCGTCATCCACTCGATATCATGCACAGGCAGATTAACCCACATGTCGTGCAATCGTTCGAGTCATTCTGGGAATCTCAATCGGAAAGCGGTTCTCGTCGCAGTGATAGCGAGACGTACGCGGACGTACGGCGCTAAAAATCCGGAGTTCATCCATTCCGCGAATCATCCGTGCCGCATACTTGGGATTCGCGGAAAGATCCGCTATGAGAATCGACGCGAGCGGAAACAAAATGGTACGAGTGATTTTTCATTCGGGAGGCCAGAAGTCCACTGCGGTTGGCCAAAATTCAATTTCTTGAATTTACATGAAATCAAACATATGTGATATTATATATTTATATATACTTTCCTACACTAAATGCTGAAATATTGTTTCTTTATGTTAATTGGTATTGCTTGTGGAAGAACGTGAATGTAAAAAACCATGTTTGCAAATTTAAACGTTCTATGACTTTCGTACACCCTTTGCTGTGAATCTTATCTTATCAGATGTTATAGCAGTACATTTATATTTTTAAATTGAATAAATAAGGTTATTTTTATCAATACATGAAGTTCTTCATGGTACATTGACTTTGTTTCATCTGATAAAACTAATAGTTTCGAATTTTGTAGTACATTTGTTCAATTTCAAATGAAACCTTTCTTTGAGCTTCCACTCTGAAATCAACCATATGATACGTCAAATTGCTCTTAAGGATATACACTATAACTTGAATATGCGTCTTTTTGCACCTTTTGATTACAATGCCAGAGAGAAATCATATTTGATACCATAAGTTGCACTTACTTGAATTACTTACTTGAATACTTACTTGAATTACTTACTTGAATACATGATAAATGAAGATAGAGAATCCTAAAAGCTATCGAGAATTCGAGATTTTGTCAAATTTGTTTCCGAACTGATAAAAATAGTGTTTCGAAGTTTTTTGAAGCCGATTTTGAATTCATTCATCGCAGTGCGATGTCACATCTCAAGATATCTTAAGCTCATATTCTCTTTTACGTGAGTCTTGTAGGGAGAGGATTACAATAGGACACTTACAACTAACTAATTCATGTTTTATATTTCATCATTTCTTTTGTGTTATTGTAATACATATATGTCAATTTACCATTTTTTACTTTATTCTAAGAAAATGAAATTCAGCAAACGAGAAATTCTTGAGTTGCTTTCAAAATCATCAGACATAGATGTAGTCCTCACATACATTTATTATTGTTTACATTGTTTATAGACAATTTTGCAAATTAATAATAATGATAATAATAATAATAATACTGAATCTCCCATGTTGAATTTAAAAATTTTTATTTCAGCAAAGTCGAAATAATCGTCCGCCATATTGGATTAACTATTTTTTGGATATTGCAATATTTAATACAGATTCATAATTAGTATCCTCAAAAACCCTTATATGCTACGTTTAGAGTATACCCAATAATGTTTTTTAAATAATCTTTCGCCGTATTGGATTCGCCATTTGGAATTTTGAAATTTTGATTTTAAAATTGGAATCAGCAACCATGTATAAAAAAGCCATGTATAAGCATAATTACAATTTATTTTTGTACATTTTAATGGGTTTGCCGACTTTTGGCCACGAAACCGAGTCTCCTGGCCCATTATGGAGGCGTGTAAAGATGCGACAAGAGAGAGAGAGAGAGAAAGAGAGAGAGAGAGAGAGAGAGAGAGAGGGGGAGAGAGAGAGAGAGAGAGAGAGGGGAGAGAGAGAGAGAGAGAGAGAGAGAAAGGAAAGGCGGAAAGCCCTACGCGTGGAAACGCACGCGGCCGCGACGTGGCGGATTGTCCGCGCGCGGCGAGGCGAGGAGAGATCGCGCGCAAAGTGGGTACACACATCGACATGGCCGATTATCATCACGACACGGCTGGTCGTGCACTCGATTATCCGCGCACGGGAAGAGATCTCCCGGCGATTCTCCGAAGACAATTGCCTCGTGGGCGTTTATTACAGGCGCATCGGCCGCGTGCGCCGATGTGTACCTATACCCGTCGTAATTTTGGGTCACTGAATCGCTGACTTTCTTCCGTCTTTTCACCCGGTCGCACGAGCGAGAGAGAAACGTGGGGTAGAGGGGGAGGGAGGGAGGGAGGGAGGGAGAGAGAGAGAGGAGGGCATAGAGTGCACTCGCCAAACCTTGACGAACGGCGGAAAAGAACGGCCGGTAATTACGGTGAGTGGCGGATAAATCTTCGTCGCGTTCCCCCACGAGTGACGTTCGAATTCGCGCAAGACGAATTGCGCCGCGCGATGCGGCGATTGGTACGGCAAGATGTATGCACTCGATGCACTTCACTTACTTGCCGGAAATAAAAATTCGACGGTGCTTGCGTGGCGATCGATCGAACGGCAGATTTCGCCGAGTTCCTGCGAACTTCACGTCCCGCGAAAGCCCGCCGCGGCTTCATTCGTTACGTTCGAGGATCTTTCTCGTGTACGCGCGAAGATCTCGAGGGAGTGCTAATGAGGCTCTAATCTCGCGCGGCTCCTTCGTTATTCCCATTGTATGCGCCACGTGACGCCGAACGAGTCGTTGACTTATATTGTTGTAACCTGATTATTCTTCATCCCCATTAAAAATTACCGAACGCTGGCATCTCGGAATGCCAGACGGGTGTCTCTCGTGGTAGTCTCTCGCCTTGCCTGCCATTCAATGTTAATCCTGCCAGACAATTGTGAACGTTCCATGCGCATCTTGATCGCCAAACGTGGTATTATTAGGTCATTAAACATGAATTGTCCGATTTCCTTAGGTACTAAGTTAGACAGTCGATATCTCTAACATTTTCGTTTTTACAGTTCTTGGTTTTTTGTCGCAAAGATACACCGTCACTCTTTCAATTCTTTCATATTTTGGTTTGTGATTGTCTTTTAAATTGACTTTATTACAGCAATTTTTTGTGCAACCGAAGATAAGTAGAAAATTCGTGTTATTTTCGAATGCAACTTCTGTCGTGGAACCAATGCAACGCTGACAATTCGAAATATCAACAAAATGTTTGGTGAAAATGTGGCTAATGAACGCACAGTACGTCGACGGTTTGAGAAATTTCGTTCTGGCGATTTTAATCTTGAAAATGAGCCACACGGGCGACCTGAGACCAAAGGATAATGATGAGCTGAAAGTTGCAGTGGAAGCGGATACATCTCAAACTACGCGTGAATTAGCAGCAAGATTTAACGTTAATATTGAACAACAATACTGAATGAAACAACAATATTGAACCATTTGAAACAAATCGACAAGATGAAGAAGCTGGATAGATGGGTTCCGCATGAATTAAACGAGCGTCGGAAGATAAATCGTCTCGAAGCTTTGCCTTTCTTTACTATCACGACATAAAGGCGAACCATTTTTACATCGTATTGTTACGTGTGATGAAAAATGGATTCTTTTCGCCAATCTTCCGACAATCGCAAGCGTTCGGTACAATGGTTGGATAAAGATGAAGTGCCGAAACACAGTCTGAAACCGAATATTCATCAAAAAAAGCTAATGGTGTTCGTTTGGTGGTCCAACGCTGCTATTATCCACTACAGCTTTATGAAACCTAATCAGTCGGTTACAACGAACATCTACTGTAACCAACTGGACGAAATGATGAGGATGCTTACGATTAAGCAGCCGAGATTGGTCGATAGAGACAGGCCAATCCTGTTGAAAGACGACGCTCGATTACATGTCGCACAAACAACGCTGCTCAAACTACAGGAGCTGGACCTGGAAACTCTCTGTCACCCACTGCATTCACCAGACCTTGCTCCAACTGACTACCACTTTTTCCTGGACTACTTCTTGCAAGGAAAAATATTCAATTCTCAACAAACCGTGGAGAACGCCTTTCGCGATTTCGTCGCCACTCACTCTTCAGGCTTTTCCGCTGCTGATAAAAGTAAGCTACCGTTAAGATAGCAAAACTGTGTCGATAGTTTAGACGCATATTTTGATTAATTGTACTATTTCTAGTTTAAGATATAATAAACCAAACTTTTGATTCAAAATCGAACATTTCATATTTAATGACCTAACATACAGGGTGTCCGGGATCTTTTGGAAACGAAAAATTGTGAAGATCGACCAGATCAAACTGAGAAGAAAAGTACCATTTTGCAAAAATCGCAATATATATTATCAAGTTATTAATGATCAAAAATAACCACATCTAGAAGCTCTTTCTATTTTAATTGATAATTTGAAAATTTGTGTACTTATTTGCAAAATGGTAGAGGATTTTTTTATTCAGAATGACCTAATCTAAAATTATATGACGGCTATTATACCTAGCAACAGGTTCAAGATTCAAAATTCAAAGTTCAATATTCCCATATCTATCGCTAGACACAATAGTCGTCATATAATTATAGATTAGGTTATTCTGAGCTAAAAAGGTCCTTTACTATTTTGCAAACAAATATGCAAATTTTCAAGCTATCAATTAAAAGAGCCTTTAGGTGTGGTCATTTCCAATCATTAACAACTTAATGACTATTGAGACTTTTGTAAAATAGTACTTGTCTTATCTCCTCAGTTTGATCTGATTAATCTTCAGAATTTTTCGTTTTCGAATGATTCCGCACACCTTGTATGTGTTGAAGAATGTTCCGGAATAACCGAAGAAACCTCGTTGTATCCAGCAAAAATAAAGTAGCGTCTAATTTCATTATCAGCTTTTTCTGACTAGAATGTCGAATCGATGTGATGAGCATGTATCGTCCCGAAAGGAAAATCTATCGGGATTGAAAACGTGGCACAATTTTCTGGAAAGACATAACACTGAAACCCGAATAACAGGATAATGTGATTTTACAGTATAGTCGAGTGCGTTGATATCTACTCATTTGAGTCCAGCAAGACTTGTGCGCAAATGAGTAGGCATTAATATACCCGTGTGTTGTGTTTCAGTAGCAACTCAGTATTCCTCGAGAAAATTGTACTTCCGAGGATGTTGCCTCGATGTTCGGATTTCGGTATCGCGATCTCTCGAGAAATTGACCCGAATTTTTTTTAGAGACTTTTCATCATTATTATCATGACGAATAAACGGGAAGAGATTTCCCGCTGGTAAGGAAATATACAAATCTGCGCGAAAAATTTCGGTATCGCGATCTCTCTCGGGAAACTGACCTAGTTTCCGAATGCCGAGACTTTTTTCGACATTATTATCATGACGAGTAAACGAGAGAAGATTTCCCACTGGTACGAAAGTACACAAACCTGCGCTTTTTTCGGGACAGTGCGTGCCCACGTCGGTTATATTATTTATACCCGGGCGTCTAATATCCACGGCTCCGAGGAAGATCGCAATTTCTGGGACACTCCGCACAGATTCGAGATCTTAGTGTGTCAGTGTGCCTATATGCTAATCGGCCGGCGAGGAGAAGTTTAACGTTGTAATATGCCCTGGTGCGCGCACGGGCCCGCTTTGACAGGGCTATACGCGCGCGTGTAAACTGCCGTGTGAAATATAAATCGCCGTGTACGTCGTCAAAAATGTAGACGCGCGATCGTGCAGGCGCTTAACTCGTGCGCGATGCGCGAATGGTAGAAAGTAATTTCGTACGTCCAGTATCTGTTTATCGCGCCCAGTGCGTAGTCGCGTCGCTTACGCGCGTAATAACGCGCAATCGCGAAATGATCGCGAAAGTAGAAGAGCCACCACGTTCGCGCGCGCGGTGACGTGAAAATTTGCTCTTTAACGGGCAGCCGACGCGGCCGCGTGACGTGTAATTAGCAATCACTGTCTTACTACCGTCTCGCAGCTTTTTGAGACGATCGCATCGAGTACACCTGTCCTATACTATCGTCCATCGTCCATCGCGCCGAAAACATGATTTTTTTTTTATAAACCATCGCGGAAATTTACATCGTTATTTACACCCGGAGACATACTCTAAAACGTCACGATCGAGCTGTTTCTGGAATTGCGATGCGTTGAAAGGAGACAGGTCTTTTTAATTCATCGGAGACGAAAAATTTTCTGCTATACACGGTGTCCGGGATTCTTTAGAAACGACAAATTGTGAGGATCAATCAGATCGAACTGAGAAGAAAAGTCAAGTAACATTTTGCAAAAATCGCAATAGTTATTAAGTTATCAATAATTGAAAATGGCCACATCTAGAGGCTCTTCTAATTAAAAACTTGAAAATTTACGTATTTGTTTGCGAAATGGTAAAGGACTTTTTTGTTCAGAATGACCTAATTTACAATTATATGATGATGGTTATTGTGTCTAGCGATAGATACGGGAATATCGAACTTTGAACTTTGTATCTTGAACCTGTCGCTACACACAATAGCCGTTACATAATTGTAGATTAGGTCATTCTGAATAAAAAAGTCTTTTATTATTTTGCAAATAAGTATTTTCAAGTTATCAATTAAAAGAGAAAGAGCTTCTAGATGTGGTCATGTCCTATCATTAATAACTCAATAACTATTGCAATTTTTGCAAAATGGTACTTGACTTTTCTTCTCAGTTTGATCTGATTAATCTCCATAATTTTTCGTTTTCAAAAGATCTAGAACATTCTAATATATATATACAGGGCGTCCGGGATCTTTTGGAAACGAAAAATTGTAAAGATTAATTAAATCAAACTGAAAAAGTCAAGTTTGCAAAAATCGCAATAGTTATTAAGTTATTAATGATTAAAAATGATTACATCTAGAGACTCTTTTAATTAAAAACTTGCAAATTTGAGTACTTGTTTGCAAAATGGTAAAGGACTCTTTTGTTCAGAATGACCTAATTTACAATTATATGACGGTTGTGTCTAGCGATAGATATGGGAATATCGAACTTTGAACTTTGAATCTTGAACCTATCGCTACGCACAATAGCCGTCACATAATTGTAGATTAGGTCATTCTGAACAAAAAAGTCTTTTATTATTTTGCAAATAAATACACGAATTTTCAAGTTATCAATTAAAAGAGAAAGAGCTTCTAGATGTGGTCATGTCCAATCATTAATAACTTAATAACTGTTGTGAATTTTACAAAATGGTATTTGACTTTTCTTCTTAGGTTAGATTACAATTTTTCATTTTCAAAAGATCCCGGATAGATCCGTATATAATCGAGTTGTTAAAGGTAAATTAATTGTTTTTTTAAGAGCCATGTGGTTTAAGAGCGCATTGGATCATTACGATTTAATAACGCCGTCAAATAATGAACAAAAGATGAATCATTTCTCCGCATGTACACTTGTCAAGCTGGAGAAATTTTATAGAGCAATCGAATGTAAGGTTAAATTCATAAAAAGTTTTGGATTACAATGTGTTGAACGTAACTCGACTGTTCGGACAATGGGGACACGTTTTAGTAACGATTATAACTGCATGGGAGGAATTTGAAAGAAATCGGACATCGTCTGAATGGCATAGACGGTTGAGGCTTTAAAACGAGTGTTCTCCTTCAATTTGAGGCACGTTTCACTCAAATTAGCCATTCCTGCGAAAATAGTACCATTTCACGCGGCATTCACGCGGTAATACGACTAAGAGGGCCGGATGCACCGGCATCGCTCTAGCGCCGGTTAACTAAATTTTTCCTCCGTCTCTCTCGCTGCCGCCGCCGCGTGTTACATTGTGTGTGCACGCGCGTTACACCAGCGCAGTAGTGTGTAATTTAAAAAGGGACAGCGAGTCTCTCTCTAACCTGGGATTAGCGAAGCTCAGGCCGCGGGGCTCCAGTCAGAGTATACCCGCGTCAGAGTATACGGTATTCAGCAAAGTAGGTATCTATGCCTGTCCATCTAGCGTATGCGCCGCGCGTAGGTCGCCAGTGAAACGTTATAACCGCTCTTATCGCAACGTGAATTGTAATACTTGCGGATTGCACAATACCGCGCGCATTTTGTCGCGTCATTTCATTAACTCGAATTGAAAATTCTCTCTTCTTCTTCTTCTTCTTCTTTCTCCTCCCCCTCCTCTTCTTCTCCTCCTCGCATCTCCATCTCGCTCTCTCTCTCTCTCTCTCTCTCTCTCTCTCTCGCGATGCTCCATTTAATTTAAAATAACAGAAAACCTGACGCCTGGTCCGGTCTTCTCTCGATCGCCGCCGTGTCGGCTTCTTTTTTCTTCGCAGCGACTTTTGTGCGGTACGGGACGGGACCGAGTGATTTCTACTCGCATCGATAAATATGGGTCAATCCAATTGATGAGGATAGGAACGAAGGTCGCGCAGATGTGGGTTAACAAGTTCCCGAGCGAAATTCTTGTCGCCGATCCTTTCGTCGGTCGATCGTCCAAGCGCGCCGCACCGCGCGAGTGCGATATTTATTAAAAACCACGCACTTTCTCTCGCTGGTAGACACAATGACTTCCGCGCGGCACGCAGAAGCACCGCGGCTTCTCGCCTCGCCCATTGCGGATCACGTTGACGTCATTAAAAAGCGTTCCATTTTCCCTTTTCTAATATCGACGCAATGACGACGTCGTTCAGTCAGTCGACACGCTCACTTTCACCGCCCACGCATTAATGCTCTATTCTGCCAGACACGCACTTACGCGCGGCGAGATGATTCACTGTTTCTCGCGCCTCCACTTTTCAGGAATCTTAATGTAAGATCGCCGCAAGTAGGGTAAAACTAATTAGAGCGTAAAACATCCATCGAGATGCGCGTAAATACGTGCGACAGCGTTAAATAATATCACCGCGAATGACGCTTTTAGAACGCTTGGTGCTTCGATAAAATCGCGATTGCGCATCTGCTCGGGCTATGATTCACTTTTTTTTACTTAAAAATATTGCTCCGCACTTCTTCACATCTTTATTATCGGTTTTCTGCTTAGTACAGATTGGCGATGAAAATAATTTGAAATCCAGATTACGAATTCCTTCTTTTTTTTTTACCAGGTGTGGCGGTTAATAATTCTTAATTTTTTTAAGAGATGGCGCTGGAAACA